GGTGCCCATAAAGTCTTAACTATATTTTGCTATTTAATTTTCTGATTTAGTCCTATATTGGTATAGTCCTATACTCCTATATATACCAACTTGTCAATATAATTCCCAAAGTTTTATTGAAAGATGTGACTTATATCAAAGCCCGATAATTTTGGATTGCTAATGATAGAAAGCATGGTTGAGCAAGTTTTCTAATACATTAAAATAATGTTTCACAGTTTCAACTTTTTTCAAAATTAAACCATTAATGCAAAAAAGGAAAAAACTGGTTGAAACCCAGAAACCCTTTTTTTTTGGGGGGGGGGTTTAAAAACTTTTCCCCAACCCTGGTTACACCTGTGAGAATGAAGGAATATGGTGTTATTGCTTATAAATATGTAAGCGACACACAGAGAAGAACGCACCCAAGCAGTATTAAACTTTTCAGCACCATCATCGGCTCCCCCCAAACCATACAAGATGGCACTAGTAACCCACTCACCCCCTGAAGGCAACTTGCTTTAGTCAGTTATCCACAAAACTCAATTTCTACCTCCTTTGCTGAGTAAATTGTAACTAACAACATGCTGCTCTCCAGCCCTGAGCCAAGTACATAGGTTGCGTGTGTTCAGCAGCTAATACCCATTCATCATTCTAGGCTTTTAGGCAAACCAATTACAGAATCATCAGATACATTATATGAAAACCAACACTAGGTCAAGTGAATATGTTCACACCTAAGTCTTCTAAATTGAGTCACAACACTCATAGGAGTTAGTTGAACTGCAGATCTAATAGCCACAACTTCCAGCCAGATTTTTTTTGTCTTGTCAAACATACTAGTCTCATTACTGTTATTGTTGTTCATTGTTATTTCTTCTGATTAGTATGCTTAAAGCACCTCATACAGGTTACATCTCAGTAAACCCTACATCACATTCCTACCTAAAACAGGTCAGATATTATTAGGCACATATGGCAGATCGGGATCTAAAACAATAAGAGAAAGAGAGCTACCTAAGCACTCATTGCATTTGTGGTCAAGATGACACTGGAACTTGCAGGGATGTTATTACAAAAAGGGGGGTTGCATTGCTAGAGGCAATGGCAGTTTATCATACCCAAGGCTTGTGTGATTTATGACAACTAAGTTGAAAACACGATCCCTCAGACATGCATTTAAATACATGTGGTTTAGCATAGGGATGGGCAACTGTCAGTGGTTGGGACCTTGGAGAGCTGCACTGTTAGCCCCAAGTCTGAAAAAAAAATGGGAGGGGAAATTGCCACGGATGTTTCATTCCATTTTTGCCCCTCTGAGCTTTTTTAGATCCAGGAGAGGCCTTTTTCCCAAAAGTAAGCAACTCACAAGTCAACAGCTTGGGTGGGGGCACAGGGACATACCAAAATTGTCTCCCATACACTTTAGGGAGTTTGGGGGCATTTGGGGAGAATTGTTTTATTTATAAAAAAAAAAAAAAAATACTGGGCCCAAAGATGCCACACTTTTCTCAGTCCTGATATAACAGAACCAATCTGGCAATAAGAACCTCATCATGACAGGTTTGATACTCAGTTGCTAAACTGCTGTAGGCTTTGTGAGGTACAAATTGGGTAGGCCTAGAATAGTAAATGTAGGCCATAGTAAATGTGGGCAAGTGGCCATTATGAGAAGGTGATAATGGCAAAAACCAATCCCATGAAAATACGAGAATTTGCTTAATACACAGTTTCAAAATTGCCCAGTGTCTCTCTGTTGCTAACCTCCTTACCACCAACGCCTCTGCTCTATATAAAGACATTTCTATACACGGGCATCTTTTTAAAAATGAAACAAAACAAGTTGTTTCTTCCAATGAACTATTTTACAGGATCATTTGTGGCACAAAATAATTATTGGGAACATGAGAGCAAACAATGAGACCCCCTGTTGGAGTATGGAACAGAACAGCAGGTAAGAAGCATAATATAGCTTGGTAGACAGGTTGTTTATGGCTTAGGATAATGCAGACAATTTGGGGGGGGGG